CGAGTATCGTTTTTCGATATCCTATCTCAGTGGCTTGGGCGTTCATGGACTCGGCCATTCTACGAAGTGGCGGGATGGGCCGAAGGACATCAGATAGTGCAACATGCTGTATGAACGTATGTTGAACGGACATGAATTCGGTCAATCTGCCATGCATCGCAGGACTTACAAAACCGTACGATGTACGCACACGTGCTGCCCTGGCGTGGGCCATGCGAATGTGTGTGACCGTGGCGCCCCACACCTGACAAGATGCTGGACTATCACGTGGTGGTATAGTATACCAGACACTACGCATGCTCATGTTGCATTGCCACGTGCGCATGACCACACACACGAGCATGGGCTGTCTCGCACTACCCCAGGGGGGAGCGCTCGGCCCTCCCGCCGAGGCCCACCGGGCCTCGAGGCCTCGGAGGGCCCCGGTCTCGCGGACCGACGAGGGCCGTGCGGGGCACGGTCGAGCAGGGCGCCCCAAAAGTAGCTCACACTCCTCCTCCTCCTCCTCCTCCTCCTCCTCCTCCTCCTCCTCCTCCTCTCCCCCTCCTACCCTCCTCCTCCTCTCCTCCTCCTCCTCCTCTCCTCCTCCTCCTCCTCCTCCTCCTCCTCCTCCTCCTCCTGCCTCCCCCTCCTCCTCTCCTCCTCCTCCTCCCTCCTCCTCCTCCTCCTCCTCCTCCTTCCTCCTCCTCCTCCTCCTCCTCCTCCTCCTCCTCCTCCTCCTCCGCCTCCTCCTCCTCCTCCTCCTCCTCCTCTTCCTTTCCTCCCCACCATTCCGTCTCCTCGTCCCTCGAGAGTTAGCGAATCGGCTCACGTAGCTGATTCGTGCTGCCTTCCACAGAGAGCCGCAGTACCTGGCCACCGGGAAGACTAAGCGAGGCGAGCGGGCAGCAACGAGGCCCAAGGCCGCAAGGCACGCAGCGCACCGAACAGTGACTCCGCGGGGGGGAGCAGGGCGAAGAGGCTCTTCCTGCGCGTGACCACCTTCCCCCCAAGTGGTCCTGGGGACCCGCAGGAGCACGAACGCTGCCTCTTGGAAGCTTCTTCGAAGCCATGTCTTGGGGTCGCTTTGAGAAGCATCCAGAGGCATGCTGGCAGCATTTTCGGGGGCCCCTTGGGGACGTCTAGGGGCCTCTTTGTTTGTTTTCTCTGCAGGCGCGATGACAAGGTGGCAGGGACACGAGGCGGTCTGGCAATTCGGCCACCCCGAGCCAAGATGTGTCGTGCACGTAAACAGCCACAGATCAGCGTGGAAAACACGCTGATCTGCTGCGTGCAAGCACGCAAGACTTTGAGAGAGGTCGTGGAAGCACGCCGTCTCTCAACGAGAGTGCGACTCCTCGGTTATCCTCCCTCGTGCAGCTGCTATGGCAGCCTGCTCAGAACTCGTCGCCGTAACCCTCTTCCTCGCCCTCGCCCTCTGCGGTCTCGATGCCCACCTCCTCGTAGTCCTTCTCCAGCGCCGCCAGGTCCTCGCGAGCCTCGGAAAACTCGCCCTCCTCCATACCCTCGCCCACATACCAGTGCACGAACGCGCGCTTCGAGTACATGAGGTCGAACTTGTGGTCGATGCGCGAGAAGACCTCTGCGATGGCGGTGGAGTTGCTGATCATGCAGCAGGCGCGCATGACTTTGGCCAGGTCGCCACCAGGGACCACTGTGGGAGGCTGATAGTTGATGCCACACTTGAAGCCCGTGGGGCACCAATCCACGAATTGAATGGTGCGCTTGGTCTTTATAGTAGCTACCGCAGCGTTGACATCTTTGGGCACTACGTCTCCGCGATACATCATACAGCATGCCATATACTTGCCATGACGAGGGTCGCACTTCACATACATGGATGCGGGCTCGAAGACGGACATGGTGATCTCCGCCACTGACAGCTGTTCATGGTACGCCTTCTCCGCAGAGATCACGGGTGCATAGCTGGAGAGCATGAAGTGAATGCGTGGGTAGGGCACCAAGTTCGTCTGGAACTCGGTAATGTCCACGTTCAGAGCACCGTCGAAGCGCAACGACGCAGTCAGCGAGGAGATGATCTGCGCCAGTAGCCTGTTCAGGTTGGTGTAAGTAGGGCGCTCGATGTCCAGGTTTCGGCGGCATATATCGTACAATGCCTCGTTGTCATACATGATGGTCACATCTGTGTGCTCCAGGAGGGAGTGCACGCAGAGCACAGTGTTGTAGGGCTCCACTACTGCCGTGGCGACCTGCGGGCACGCCCACACGGTGAAAGAGACCTTTGTCTTCTTCCCGTAGTCCACAGACAAAAAATAGAGTAACGAAAAGAAAAAAAAGACAAGAAAGAAAAAAAAATAAAAAAAAAAAAAAAAAAACAAAAAAAAATTAAAAAAAAAGAAAAAAAAATAACAAGAAGAAAAAAAAAAACAAAAAGGAAGGAAAGAGAAAAGAAAAACCCCCAAAGAAAACACAAAAATAAGGAAAAAAAGAAAAAAAAAAAAAAAAAGAAAAAAAATTAAACAAAAAAAAAAAAAAAAAAAGAAAAAAAACAAAAAAAGAAAAACAAAATAAAAAAAAAAATAAAAAGAAAAAAAAAAAAACAACAAAAAAAAGACAAGCGCTCCAACATCAGGCAGCCGAGCCCGGAGCCGGTGCCTCCGCCGACGGCATTGTAGATCATGAATCCCTGAAGGCCAGTGCAGTTGTCCGCCAACTTCCTGATCCGATCCAGGACGAGGTCGACGATCTCCTTGCCGATGGTGTAATGCCCTCGCGCGAAGTTGTTCGCGGCGTCCTCCTTGCCGGAGATGAGCTGCTCAGGGTGGAAGAGCTGACGGTAGGTACCCGTGCGTACTTCATCGACCACAGTGGGCTCCAGATCAACCATCACACAGCGGGGGACGTGCTTGCCAGCGCCAGTCTCGGAGAAGAACGTGTTGAAGGCATCGTCGCCGCCTCCGATAGTCTTATCAGAGGGCATCTGGCCGTCAGGCTGGATACCGTGCTCAAGGCAGAAAAGCTCCCAGCATGCATTGCCAATCTGCACACCCGCCTGCCCAATGTGGATGCAGATCGCCTCGCGCATTGTGTTGGATGGGCTTCTTGATCAAGTTGAAGTCTGACAGGGGGTGACAACTCACAAGGCCGCCGCGTGATGTGACAGCCTCGATCGGAACCGCTTCAGTCAAAATGGCTACGAAGGGACGTATAGGGGCCTCTTGGGGCTCCTTCGCGTTTCTTGGGGGCCTGTTGGGGGCCTCCTGGCAGTCTCGGTGCCTGTCTTGCCGTTCTCTTGTGCCCCTGTGGGGCCTTCTTGAAGTCTCTGAGGCAGTATTTGAGGCTTTCTGAGCTGTCCCTGGGCTCTCTCAGGGTGTCTCCAGATTCTCTTGGAGGCGACATTGAGGGCTTTCTGATCCGCCTTGGAGCGCTGGGAACTCGAAAGGCGAGGACGTCAAATACTTCAAAACGTGAGGGAGATCCGTGTCGCGCTCTGGCATCGTCAAAGGAAACCTCGGTGTGGGAACCTGTCCCGCAGAAGAACTTGGGGGGGGGCCACGCACTTGTGAGACCTACAATAGTTCCGAGAGCGGGGAACCGCCGAGCGATATCGACAGCACTCCACACACACACACACACACACACACACTCACACACACACCACACACACACACCCATGAATCAACTACATTGTTCAGCGAGGGGGTGGGAGTAAGAGGTAGAAGAGAAGCCAAACGTGTTCCCGTGGAAGAAAAATCCTGTTGGGGCTCTCATCGACACCACGCAAACCTGGCAGAAACAACCATCGAATCCATCGAGCCATGCAATTCCCGTGGGCTCTCATTGAAATCCGAGTGGGGTCTTGTTGGAATCCTCTTGGGATTTGGGATCTTGGTGGGATCCCGCACTGAGGGGCCTGGAGGCGGGGCACTACTTCCAGGTGGCGAGAGGCGAGATAGTTTCACCGAAAAGGGGGGGGAGTCTGAATTGCATCTTACAGCTAGCCGGATCCGACGAAGCCCACCCTAAAATCACAGAATCCTGCCTCTGTCCATTCTGCTCGCCCTCCTCCTCCTCCTTCTCCTCCTCCTCGTCGTCCTTCTCGTCATCCTCCTCTTCCTCATCCGCCGATTCGTCCTTGTCCCTCCTCCGTTCCCCCCCTCCCCCTCCCCTTCCTCCTCCGATTACTCCTCCATCCTCCTCCTCCTCCTTCTCCTCCTCCTCTTGGGGTATTTCCCCAACCCCTGATTCCACTGAATGCTCCGCCGCATCCTCGATCAGGGCAATTCGCCTGGGCATCGTTTCTAGATGGGCTGCTAGGGTTACGCAGAGCGTCTGGAATATACTAGCAGAGAAGAGTAGATTAGCAGTAGAGTTGAGCAGGGTAGAGTAAGAGCAGAGTATAGCAGAGTAGAGTAGGGTAGAGTCGAGTAGATTAGAGCAGAGTTCAATAGGGTAGGTAGGTGGTAGAGGAGAGTCGGATAGAATATGACCGAGTAGAGTACAACGGAGTAGAGTCCACTCCAGTCCAGCCCAGTCTACTCCAGTCCAGTCTACATTAGTGTACTCCAATCAATTTCATTTCAGTCTTATGATCTATGTGGACTCTGCGCTGGCTGATATTGGGTTTCCACCTGAACTATCATCCGAGTGTACGACCATAAGTTGGAAGTGCACCACGGCGACACGGATAGACGGCAGACCCTGTTCATTAGAATGCCTCTCACATGGGACTAAAAAAAAAATGACAAATTACAGTGTGCAACCGAAAAAAAGACTGAGGGCGGATTGTCCAAAACGGAGCTCTCGCTGGACAACTACTTGAATTGTACGAGCATGTCGCCTTCGACTCCTTATACAAGAAGACACATGTTTCCCTGGATTCGATCACGACTTGCATACTCACACACATGCATCGGCCCGTCGGTCATTCGAAGGCCAAAACTCAGCAAGGTCAGGTGCGCGCAGAAAACCCGAGAAGCACCTCACTGTTCGCCGTCCTCCTCCTCATCGAACTCGCCCTCCTCCTCCGCAGTAGCATCCTGGTACTGCTGGTACTCCGAGACAAGGTCGTTCATGTTGCTCTCCGCCTCGGTGAACTCCATCTCGTCCATGCCCTCACCGGTATACCAGTGCAGGAACGCCTTGCGCCGGAACATCGCTGTGAAGTACTCAGCAACACGTTTGAACATTTCCTGAATTGCTGTTGAA